TCCAGCATGTTCAGATTGCAGAGATAAAAATGAAAGAACGAAAACATCCGAAATTCGGAATTTTCTAGAAACAACTCCAAAAATCTAGAAACTGCGCGATAAAATCCAGAAAAGCCATTATCCTAATTTTTCTTATATTCGATTACTAACTGAGTTGAGTTTGTGCTGATAGAGCTTTTCTTTCAAAAGTTATGATTTTTTGAAAAAAAATTTGAAAAATCACTTTCCTAAGAATTCCTAAGAAATTGATTTTTCGGCATTTTTTTTTCAAAAAATCATAACTTTTGAAAGAAGAGCTCGATCAGCACAAACTTAACTCAGTTAGTAATCAAATATAAGAAAAATTAGGAAAATGGCTTTTCTGGATTTTATCGCGCAGTTTCTAGATTTTTGGAGTTGTTTCTCAAAAATTCCGAATTTCGGATGTTTTCGTTCTTTCATTTTTATCTCTGCAATAACATGCTGGAAGGTCTCCAGGAAACTATTGGAAACTACATGCTTTACGCTTTCTAACAATGCTTAAATTGTGCAAAATCGTCGTGAACGAAAGAAGTTATGATTTTTTGAAAATGGTGCGAACGAACTTTCGGTTCAACCTAATAGTTTATACGAAGCATATCCAAAAGCAAATCAAAAAGAAGCGAGGGAATTGCTAATGTCTACCATTTTTCAAGTGCTTTGCTAGTAAAAATCAAACAAAAACTGAAACTGTTAGGTTCTTTACCTACAAAATATAATTCCTTGCTTACCGAAGCCGAGCTGATCTATGATCTGATCGAACATGAGGATCATTTAGTAGGAGATATCGTTTTAATGGAAAAGTCGACAAAATTTTTGATAATTTGCGCTCTAAACCGGTGAATAGCATTTACAAAAGTAAAATTTATAAACCGCCGCAAAATTACTCCAACAATCGCAACAATTTCTACCCACCTCGAAATCGCCCGCACACGCGTATACCTGCCTTTCCCCAGGACATCCATGTTAGGAACAAAGGTTGATCGGGCCCTTGCCTGAGGTGTGTAGCGGCGAACGGTTGTACAATGTCTTTTATTTATATGTATTGAATAAAGACTTTACATAATACAGGGGAGTGGGGGGGGGGGATGGGATATGAGAGACGGGGATGGAGGCGACCACCTTCTACGATGTAGCTTGCTCTGCCGAACTCCATGATCTTCCTCTGAAAAATGTCTCACGTAAACCACGCGCGAGACAGGATGAGTGAGCGGCGTGGGTGGTTGATGAAGAGGGACCCGATGTTCTTACAGTCTGCGTAAGCTGCTCATTTCAACAGTAGGTTAGATTGTTAAAGCACACCAATGTCGGTTAGTCGTAATAAAAACAACCCACCTGATTCGTTCGAATTCAGATCCTAGCGCTGTTTAGGAGCGAAAATATAAGACGAAGGGTGGGAAGGGAGGGTTGAGGTCGTTGAAATGAACAAATAAAAATGAGATATAAAATTTTTCTAGTCTATAGTTCAAGAAATTATAGAAATCTTTCCAGGACTTCCATGTCAGGATCAAGGGGTAGCTAGACCCTTACTTGAGCGTGTACCGGTATTAAGGTGTATTTGACGTAACATTAGACGTTTAAAATTTAACTCAAAATTAGGTGAAATTTCCCCGGGACCTCTATGTCAGGATCAAGGGGTAGCTAGTCCCTTGCCTGGGGTGTAGGGGTGTTACGTATTTGACATAGCACTACATTATACCAGAGTTTATCATAAAGAGAGATTATACATAAAGGGAAGAGGAAAGGGAGGCCGCAAAGTAAGTCTTTCAATGTATTATTAACTCAAATGTATCTACCTGGGACCTCCACGTCGGAATCAAGCGGTAGCTAGTCCCTTACCTGAGTGTGTAGCGGTGTTACGGTGTATTTGACATAGCATTACATTATACAAGAGTTTATCGTAAAGATAGATTATAAATAAAGGGGAGGGAAGGGAGGCCAGGAAGCGAAAGTCAATTGCTCAAGAAAAAATGAACCCAATATTCTAATATATAATATATCTACTCGGGATCTCCATGTCAGGATTAAGGGGTAGCTGGTCCCTTGCCTGAGTGTGTAGCGATTGTTACTGGTAGAAACTCAAATAACTATACATATTTATCTACATAATAAAGATTACAAAATGAGGGCTGGGAGGGGGGGGGGTTGGAGGGTTTGGAAGAGCGGTGGCTGTGAAGCTAGACTGCTGTGAGTGTGGTGGGCTTCTCCCTCACTTTACACTAGATCCAGCTTCCGTGTTGCACCTGCTCTGCGTGTACGTCGTCATCAATCACGAACCAAAAGATATCGAGTGTCTATTGTATTTTCAAGCGTTACTTATCAAGTACTGTTCTTTTGTTGTAAGATGCTGAAATCTCCATTTACAAGTTATGCTTGGTTTAGTAGAACTATTCCTAAAACGAAACAAAAGTGGATGGATAGCACATAGCAACTTCTATGAACTCATTGTATCTTGACAAATTAGGAATCACATACACAAAACGTATGAAAACTCACTTGAATGAAAGACGTGACAAACAAAGGATAGCTCGTATTATTTTTCCTTTCTTTACACTGATTACGCAACTTCTTTCACAGTTTTTTTATAGCCCGAGAAAGGCGCCAATTTCAGTACATTGTCTCTAGACTTGAACAGTATATAATGCTAGCCTCACTTTCTTTCCTCGCCTTCGTTGCAGGTTTGCTTTGAAGCCACGCTAGCACATGAGAAGTGGATCGTGAATTTTTTGCGAACAAACAGAACCGCGCGCCGAGCCCTCTCAAAGGCAGTATTACAAGTTCATACTCAATCTTGCTATTAGGTTGCTGCATAAGTTCTATCCGATTTGAATTTTTTGAGTTCAAAATGTCATAACTTCTTTCAAAGTCAACTTTTTCATAAGATCTTAGTTTCTGTGCGTTGAGCAGCTTGGCTATCAGACTCATACTGAAACCTGCGAGAATCCTTATCAAGGAAAAGCAAGAACTCAAAAACTTTACAGCGTTTTTCTTCAAACCTGTCTTTTTTGACATGGCAATGCTCCCTTATGAGAATTGCAGCATCTCATCTAACAATGGATAGATAGAAAAATTTCAGTAGATTATTTTGCAACATAAAAGAGACCATAGGGTCTGCGTTGCCGAGAGATTTTTTTGACCGAGCAAAAAAGGAGCCACTTTTTGACTCCGCTTCAGCACATGTGTGTATGCCTATTTACGAATTATGAAAATTTTACAGTCAACGTGAGCGTCGAAAAGTAATTGGTGGATGGGCTCTACTAGCTATTGCTTTACTCTAGCATCTCCAACTTTGAGCTCATCGATTCTTCTATTCGCAGAATGTTATTGGTAAAGCATCTATACAAAAATTAATGTTCGACAATAATTTACTAGCAAGACTTTTTTTCATGGAACCGAACCTCTGCATATACTAGCCTGCTACATCCTTACTCCGCAGCTAATGAAAGAACTTGACTTGATGGGCGCATTGTGGAGATTTCCTCGCAAGAACTTACTTCCAGGGTGAGAACGTACCTCGGCCACTGGAGATTTTAGGCCTAAAATCTCCGTACACTAAGAAATCAATTGAAATCTATATGCGTTAGAAAGAACAATGAAAAATCTCTAACATTCTAGCAATACCGCATTAGAAATGAAATTCTTTTAGAACAGCTGCTTCAAACACAAGGCAAAAAAATTTGGACAGAACTTATGCAGCAACCTAATATTTGACTTCATACATCATTTCTGCAACAGCGCAAGCGTGCCCTTCATCAGCAATTACTGGACTCCTTTGACTCATTTTTATTGCAGGCGTGTACTTTCTATCGGTATGCTAGAATTTATCCTAGTTTTAAGCCATCTTGTAACCTTATATTTGAGGAAGGGCTCCATTTTGCAGATACCGAATTATTAGGTTAGCGCAAAAATAAGATGCGTTTTTTCGTCTTGTTTCAGAACAACTTTTCTACCACTGACTTTCTTCTTATGTACGAAAGACTTAGCATAACACTGCGAGCTCTTTTCATGCGCTATCCAATGATTATGGTTAAAACAGGCCTTTAGCCTTTCTCGTAAAAAATCTACAGAGCTAAACAATTGCACTCGAAATTGAAACCAGAATTGCATTGCATTTACCCTAATTTCACGCGTACAAGGCGCACCTTTTTCGATTTTTCGACTAAGCCCCTCAGCCGCTTTAAATTATTTCGGAAAGCGATCCTTATGCCGTACGATTCTCTTAAGCAATATACAGCAAGGCATAGGGTCTTTTGGTTGCGACCTTCTTTGGCGTAGTTGGACTGGTCGATTTTGGAAAAAATTCCCCCGCGCCTTGTACGCGTGAAATTAGGGTACTCTTCTGGCCAGATGCAAATGAAGGCATTCGTGTGGGAATTTAGCTATTGTATGTGATAAGCATTGTCTACCTTATATACGTTTTTTCAACTTCTCAGAAACATCTAAACTGAGATATGACGCCTCAGTGTGGTAGTCGTTTCGGTCATGCTGTGGTCCAATTTGTTTTGAAGAAAGTAATCGCTATAGTTTGCTCATTTCTGTAGCGCAAAGGTAGGCCTCCTGTTGATCGTCTTTGCAAAAAAAGTTTAGCTGTTCGGTACGCAGAAATTCAAAAACTCCGCAATTTGGGACTTTCAGGTAAAACATGTTGGGAAAGCTGACAATTTTTGATTTTGAACTTTTTTCTTTCGCAAATCTTCATCCTAGTCCAATTCATCCTCTTTTGTAGTAATGGCTTGCGGCTATAAGATAAGCCACATATCATTAATACTAACAGATTTTGAAGGGAGTTATGACTTGTTGAAGACGAGGTTTCGAGGAAAAAACCTTTTTTGTCTATCATCTGATGGTCTTTACCGCTTTGGAAAATGGAATTTTCTAGAAAGTTATAGCACGTCAATATAGAGCAAAGCGCCTTTTATTTTGCACCAGCCTGATAATAATCGTTGTTGATCAGTGTAGCTCAAGTATGCTTCGACAATATGATTTTATATTTATTCATGACCGGATTTCGTGGGCAAATAAATAAAAATTACATTTTTAAAGACTAGAATTTGATTTAAAAGCCAATATGACTCAAATTTCCAAAGTGCACATATGGAAAAGGTAAATGGCAATTCTACGGAGCATATAAACAGTTTCACGCGAAATCATCGTGGAGATTGGATTAAAGGTATGTCGAGACGATGAGAGCAATTGGAGACAAGTTACTTTTTCGAAAAACCAAGGCATCTGTGTGCTTAAAACTATTTAACATGCTTAAGTATGAGGACCCTAAGAACTTGAACCTATCCTTTGCCTATGTAAGTAGTCAAGAGACAATCACAACATTGCAGTTACTCCCTTAACCGTTCAGATTTCTTCCTATCATTCAAATTTCACTTACAAAAGCGAAATAGTACGAAACACCTGACAGATTATTTACACAGCAACATTCTTCCTGAAGTTTACAGTAAATAATACTGGGGGAGGTTTCTCTACAAGAGAAATCACAAAGTGCCCAATTTTGAGGGGCCCATTAGGCTGCGGTCAAATTGTGACAAATCAAATCAATATCATTGCCATTCTTCTTGAACACCGCTTGCTGTGTGGCATCTGCTGGGAAGATCTTTACGGCTCGCCATTTTCCTCCAAGACAGACATTCAACGCTGGTGAGACGTCAACTTTTGGCGGCTTTAGTTTATCTCTGCAAAAAGGATGATTACTGATTGCTTTGGGCAGTGTTTAGAGCTCTTTCTGTGCCGTGATGGTGCCAGCGCCGTTCCAGCGCCGTGCTGACGCTGTGCCGCCATCGATTGATCAATACAGGGCGCGACTTGACCTTATTCATGTATCCACATTCCACCACGAAGTTAGCACGGCGCTGGCTCGGGCGACTCAGGACGCAGTTCTGGGAATATGATGTGGAATGACAAAATAAGGAAAAACATACTTCTCAAATTGGGCCAGTATTACGCCCACAAGCTCCCCGACTCGCTCCTCATCCTTAGGATTTTTCATACATCCGATGATGTCATTGTCAGCGATATGGATTATAAATAGACCATTTGGCTCTGGACAAACGGAAATTTGAGTAATCTAAAATAGTAAAAAAATCTGATTAGGGAAAGGGAATTGTACTTTTCAGTATTTGAAAAAGTGTACATTTTTTAATGGAATCACGGGCTTGAGCAGTTTGAAATTGATAGCGTCCAGCTTGGCGACGAATTGATCGGTAACAACCAACGCTCGCAACGAAGATTTGTTGTAACGGTTAAACTTCTGAAAATTGTTATTTTGTCACCAAACTTAGTATCAGAACCTTTTGCTTTATTTTCAAAGCAGTCAGTTCAATTTGTCATGCAACACTTGTTGAAGATCTAGCTGTAAAATAGCTGCTTTCAAAAGCTGTAAAATAGTTGTGCAAAGCGTTTTGGAACGAGTTCTCTTCATTTCCTTTTCCCCTCTTACTTCCTTTCTCTTACCTCCATCCTTCTTACCCGAACAAAAGTATAATAAAACAGTTATAATAGTATAATTCTATGGGCCTAAGGAAAAGGCAAGAAGCTGACCTGGAAGAATGTACTGAAAAGAATTTTTTCGTAAGGATTTGTGTTCTTCAAGGCGAGCATTGCAGCACGATATTTGATCGGATTGTATGTTGGTTCTTCACTCTGAAATTAATTTTCGTTTACACTATAATTATTACAACTGGGTACGAGCCGCATTTCTAAGAATGACAAAACTAAGCAAAAATATACGCAAAAAGTGAGGCAAGCCTAGTGGGCAATTATTCTACCGCTCATGCTAAAATTTAAAATGGTATCCCAAATTTGGAAACTTTAGTAGAGAATTTTCAATCTCCTTCTGCAAAAATATTGGGTACCCACCTGTGATAAGTAGTCTCCCTTCCATGATCTTGTATAACCCCAACGCTCTCGCTTTCCATTCAAAACTGCATACGCTGCCAGCTTCTCGTTGAAGGACTCTCTGAAAACATTTTTCAAACCAGTTCTGTGGTTTTTTTTTCTAATAAAAAAAAACGAACTTCAAACTTTGTTGCATTCTGGCGAGTATTGTAGCGGCACGCCATCGTTGATGCATAACTTTGAGCTTCTCCGTAAATGGAACCAGAACAACAGGTGGCTTAGGCCAAACGACGCTCTTTCCAAGATCTGGCATATCTCGGACACCGCTGAAATGAAGAAAATGTGCGAAGGGTGAATTGCTTTGCCAATAAGAGGTGGCGAAAAAGGGCAAAGATGATTCATGAGACCATTAATCAGCAAATGATAACCTTTTGAGGAATTTTATGGGTTTGAGGGGATTATGGTGTTTGCTCAAGGGAAGAATGTGAATGACGGGAGAATTGCACGATCCTGCTAAAACCTTGTGCCGATACGGTTAACTAGTCATTCATACCACATCGATGCAGAGTCGAGAAAGAAAAATGATGCGGAAGGAACGGGAAATTTCGCAGCTTTTCGTCGCGATTTCTTTTTGAGAGGCAAGACTTTAAAGGCCGTTCTATCATGAAAGTGCTTGCTTCCGCTTAGAATCGAGAAAAACTGTAATCTTTCCCACGATATCCGCATTAAATCCATTAGCCGTCCCCTCAACTCCAGCGACCATAAAAAAATAGAATTTGAATCTTTTCAGATGAAACGGGATTTGTGAGGAAACAAATTCTAGGCTCTCAATTTCTGATTTTGACTATCTAAGTTCTTCGCAGGCTTTAGTGCTTTCGCACTTCTTTGCACATATGTTGATTTTTCTTAAAAACCAGAAAAACCCACCGGAATGCATTGATGATGCTCATAAGGTAACTACGAAGTTTGTAACGTCTGTATGCTCCCATGATTCTATAGACAGCTCTAATCCTCTCGTAACGTCGTCTTGCCAAAGTACCGCGCACATTCTAAGCATAGAGGATTAGTCAATTTTAGTAAATACCTTTTCCAAATTTGTTGAAGACGAGATATAATGATTCTCTGATATTTTGTATTTCACAAGAAAAGAGCAAAGTCAAGAGCGTCAAATGTTCTCGGAAACAAGACAAAGGTGAATATAAAATTGCTGCAAATCAATTTTCAATTGGTATTTTTTGAAATTTTTCGCTCGCTAATGTTACTCACCTTCTGTATCAAGACAACGATATGAGGAATCCTCTCGCTACGTAGTTCTTCCAATCGGAACACAGTCTGTGGACTTCGAATGAAAATCTGGAAAAATACAACAGATGTAGCTTTTGATTTAATCGGATTGGCGGCTGGGAGGCGGTGCTTCATGGCTTAATCAAGGCCAGGGAATGATTAAAAAGCACGCGCGCGAGAGAGACGCAGACTGCTTCGCGGGTATGAGCGGTCGCCTTCCAGCCGCCAAGCCTGTTAAATCGAAGGGTAGAGCCCGAGCACCACTCTGTGCTCATTGAAATGATTATAACGATGTTGAAAAATTTTGCCCAGCTTCACATTTAATTTTTGACGAACTTTTTATTTTATACTTCTCATAAATAATAAGAGACCTTCAAACCAACATGAGTAACATCCTTATTGCTTTTTTCAAGCGCAATATTGAGATTTGAGAGAGTTCGGAAAACAAAAGGTGCAGTCTATCTCAAATTTTCCAAATTTTTAGTTTTCTAACACGTGACTCAGTTCATAATGAAATTTCAAGGCTCCTTCATAATTTTATTTGATTACGAGGATTTGCTGTTGTGCATGGACGACGCATGTATCCAGTAAAAATGAGAAAACCTGCATCGCAGAAAATTCAAATAGTCCCCAAAAATTTTTCGGGGGTTTGCATCTGAAAAAATTCTGTTGCACATCCGCCTTAAAAGGTAAAAAGTAGAAGAAAAACTATTGAGACTTCGATGAAAAAAGGCACGTCAAGCTAGAGGTCGGGAATTTTCCATACACCCTGTATTTTGTTATTTTTTCGCAAATGTGCAGTCTATCTTAAATTTCGAAATTTTTGCTTTTCAACAAATAAACAATTAAGCTTTAGTATTGAACACATATAGCAATGTCTCGTCTAATTCATGCACTGTTTAGCTGATGTCATGAATTATCAAGAGTTGTATTGTTCTTTTTCTACAGTTTCTAAGCACATTCTCAAGCTAACGCTCTAGTCTGATTGTATTTGAACAGTGATTTTCAAAATCTGAGAGCAAAAAAACTTTTTCTCACTTTTGTCTTTCCATATTTGCAATCGTTTTCCAAGTGAGCGAATCTCATGATTTTCTCACAGTTATCGCGAGGTGAGCCACTACGTGGATTCGGCCATGTTTCGGGGCATATCAGTTTAAACCTGGAGAAAATTTTATTGATATAAAATTAATTCGAAACAAACATACCTGTTTAGGAAACGTTCATAAGTGCATCGATGAACGAATCCTGCACGGCGGACGCGAACATTCTCAAGAAGACCGAGGTAACGGACCTAGAAAGCTCTAATCTACTGGAAAATTGCACCAACAATTTTTTTGGGAACTGAAAATGCCAAAGAAAGTCATGTGCATGACCGGGGAAAAGATTTTGATGAATTGTGCAACGCAGAACAGCACACTTGATGAAGGGCCATGATTTTACTAGGCAGCGCTGCGGGCATAAAATTGGAGTTGGTCGAAGATATGACTTTGATTTTATCATTTTAACTTTTTCAGAACAGGCTCATACTCAAAAAATGTAGAGAATCTATCATATCGGACCGAACTTCTCGCGCAAATGTGCTTTGTTGTGCAATTGCACACACTGCCGCCACAGTTGACTGTCAACTGGTTAATTATCCTACCTGATGATCGACCCTTTTATCGTCGAATATGCTGCTGCTCTTCTCTTCATTTGGTTTTATACATCGAATATAGAACGGCTGTTTGCTGGCAAGTTGTTCCACAAGTCCTTGCATAGAGTTCTGAAAGAGATAGCGTCACGGCCAAACTTCTTTGAACTATCCAAATCCGGCTAGAAATTGCTTAAACAACTCACCTTGAACATAAACCCAGCCGTTGGTGGTCGTCGATTCACCTCTGTCAGTTTCTTTGATCCATCCGGGAAGATCTCTTTGAGCAATGGATTCTGACTAAACAGACAAAATAGCTTGAACACAATTGCTAAGCTTTCGGAATTTTATTCAATACTATTTCAGCGCTATTTGCTCCTAGTTTTCATTTTGCAAATGATTACTCTCATTGAACATTTTTTTGTTAGGGAATTCAAATCAAAAAAAACCAAACTACTATTTTCACTCAAAAATAATAGAAACAAAAGCAAAGCATACTGCCAAATTTAGCCTAATCCAAACCAGTCAGCATCCTAAAGTTACTAGTAGATGAATTCCTGGCAGTGGTCAAAAAATAAACTCTCTTCAAAAGATCTCATTGATTGTATAGTTTGTTGAATTTGTACAAAGAATTCGCGAGTTTGAACTGGCAATTACCGTAATCTACGAAATGTTTTCAGTAGAATATTTCCGAAAATTTGAGGACACTTTTCATCAATTATTATTACGACTACTTCGACGATAAACCATTGCTAAATCTCGTGAGGACCAAACCTTGATCTGAATTTGCCAAAAATAACTAACTCACCTATTGTACATCAACCTCTTCAGGTCCTGGAACAGTGTGTCTTTGTTCTTATCCATGAATCCGTTCACAGAATAAGTAACATCTCCGGCATAGTGCGTGATCCTTAAATATTCAAGTTTAGTTATGTATTTGATAATCAATCTAGAAACCTACTTGAACTCATCGTAATTCATAGATTTATCGGTTTGCTTTAGACCTCGGCTGGTAAAGTGCCTGTGCGAGCCCAGTTTTTTGTTCAGCTCTTCCAAGTATATCTGAGAAGGAGCCATTGTTACTTCACTACATCGTTATTAGAATATTTAAACTCACTTCATCAGTGACTTTTCCGACGTTAGCGCAGGCATCATCTAAGACAGCTAAAATTCCACGTTTTGGCTCCTCCACTAGGTCACAAATGATCTAAACTCAATATTAATATTTGTAGTTTAAACTCAAAATTTTCCAGGTGATTGAGTCAAATAAGTTTATCGTTAATGGTTGTGATCCCCTTCAGATAACGAGATTTGAATATTGCGAAATTTTTGTGAAATGGGCACAAATCTGTTCGACGTGAGAGAGCATTCGTTAGCAACATCTGTGGAAGAACTTTTTTTTGTAAATTTATATGTTTTTCAGCGATCAAAACTAAAACTTTCCTGTTAAGGAAAGAGAATGAGGGCGGATCGAAATCCGGATCCTCTCCTACGAATTCATTTCAAAGGAAATATGTTTTTGCCTTGCAGCCGCTCAGATACGTAGAATTCCTCCTCTAATGATCAATTGGGTTTTTTAAAATTTTTTTACTAACCTTATTGTTGAAATAATCAATCTTTGACCACTGAATTCCTTCTCGTTCATACTCCTCCTGCTCTTGCTTCAGTACCAACTCGATAAATAACTGTTGCAGTTTCTCATTACAGTAGTTGATACAAAGTTGCTCAAAACTGCAAACAAAAAAATTTCAACACTGCAGTATTACGGTATCGCAAATAATCTTTTACCTGTTTGTGCCAAAAATCTCAAATCCGTAGATGTCTAAAACGCCGATCACGGTACCGCTTTCGTAGATGGACCTCTTTTCGACAGCGATTGAGCGGTTGATTTTCTGCACTATCCAGGAGAAGAGACGATCGTAGACAGCCTAGATCAACATTTTTTTGCCAATTTAGCAAATTTGGTTGAAACCTTATTACCTTAGCTAGAGAATCTCTAGTATATAGAGCCGCATTTGTGTCATGACTCTTTGCCACAACATCCGAGCGAGCGGCGATCACCTAAAATTTCGAAATGGTTTTCGTTGAAATTCAAAAAATAAGATTTGCATATTTTATATGGACGAACCTGAGAAGTCAGCGCATTATGTAGTTCTTGAGGAGTGACTGACAGACATTTAGCGGCATTTTGGAGAACATTTTGATTGGCCACATGACAGCCGGCTTGATATGATTGGGAATCAACAAAAGCCACATCGCCCAGATGTATTATACCAGCAACCACTGACCATAGCTAAAAAGGGAAATATTGTTATCGCAGTAATAAAAGACTACAAAAAGTGGAGTTTAATAAGGACGAAGAATGTTCAGGTTTTCATCTCAAGATTTTCATTACACAGCAAAAATAGAGTCTCTCCCCTGGAGCAAAACTTCACTGCCTACTACAAGTCAAAAGTTTGCTGCTGTTCCACATTTATTTTGGTGAGTGGATAAGCCGAGCAAAGTTAGTCGATTATAGATGCTTCCTACCATTTTCCAATTATTTGAACGAGAATAGAAAAGCGATCATTGCATGGTATGGGCATTTACTTGGACAAATCTAATGTGTTAAAATATTGTGAGGCTTGATTACAAGTTTGTGCAGTGATATTACGGTAAATACATTGTAAGGAAAAAACAGTGAAATGTGAATTTTGATATTCGCGCTCCCACGGTATCGCTTTATCTGTTTGTTTCTCCTCACCAGTAACCTAGCAGAAAATTGGATTGAAGCGTGTTAGCATTTCGTTGATGAAACACATGTTTATAGTAAAATAAGTTATTTAGTCTGTTGTAATTGCTATTTTGTTGTAATTTTGTTGTTGCTGTTTTTTTTTGTAATTCACTTTAGCAACATAATTATCCAACAAGTATTTCGCGCACATCGCTAGGCTAGAAGAAATCGATAAAAAATTCTAATTAACTTTACAGTAATGTCTTAAGAAACTTATGATACAAATGCTCAAATTTGATTTGATCTTGATAAAATAGGGGCCACAGCAACAATGAGTGAAATCGTTTCAGGCCTCCTGTTGCTTTAAGGGCCGGGCATACTTCACGCGATTTCAGTCGCTACGCGACTTGGCAATATTTCAACTATCCATAACTCATTGTAACCACATTTTGAATGTACAGAAGTTAGGGCATTTTATCAATCCACGTAAGTTATATACACTACTAGCTGGCTTACCCGGCTCCGCCGTATCCGGACCAAACTTGGCACACATACACTTCGGACCCCGGCGGGTGTCACAGTCCACTTTTCGTTATCGATCGATGTCGATTTTACCGATTTTTATCGTTTTCTTTGCAGAGTTCACCTACAGGGCTAGGAGTTGGCACAGGGGGGGGGGGAAGTGAGCATGGGGATTCCGAATACAATATCAGTTTTCAGAATTATCGATTACTTTTATTGATTTTATCGATTTTTTGTAAATTTTGACATGCGAGGCTGGGATTTTGCACAGGGGGGTAATCGAGCATGCTGATTACGAACACAATATTAGTTTTCAGGATCGTCCATTACTTTTATCCATTTTATCGATTTTTTTGTAAAGTTTGACCTGCGGGGCTGGGAGTTTGCACAGAGGGTAATCGAGCATGCAGATTACGAATACAATATTAGTTTTCAAAATCGTCCATTACTTTTATCGATTTTATCGATTTTTTGAAAATTTGAGCTAGGGGGCTGGAATTTGGCACAGGGGTGTAATCGAGCATGCTGATCACCCCCCTTGGGGATGATCAGCATGCTCGATTACCCCCCTGTGCCAACTCCCAGCCCCCTAGCTCAAACTTTGCAAAAAAATCGATAAAATCGATAAAAGTAATCGATAATCCCGAAAACCAATATTGTATTCGGAATCCCCATGCTCGATTACCCCCCTGTGCGAACTCCCAGCCCCGTAGCTCAAACTTTGCAAAAAAATCGATAAAAATCGATAAAATCGATATCGATCAATGACGAAAAGTAGCCTATGACACCCGCCGGGGCCCGTAGTGTATGTGTGCCAAGTTTGGTCCGGATCGGTTCAGAAATGGAATTTTCTATTCGGACTATACGTACACACAGACAGACAGACATACAGACATACATACAAACAGACATTCAGCTTTATATATAAGATACATGCGCAGTTTGCTAGTATTGGATCAAAATACTTCTGGCGAATGGCCAAATCGCGTCGCGATTGAAATCGCGTGAAGTATGCCTGGCCCTTTACGCGATTTTAGCTGGGACTCGATTTGGCAATTTCCCACTTTCAATTCATCGTGAACGCTTTCTGAATGTAAAAAAGAGCATTTTACCAGCTCAGAAGAGTTATACAAGCTATCAGAGCCCGGCACGAAGACAGAATGGACATCTACGAGACGAATTCACCTTTGCCGCTCTAGATTTTACGATTTTCCAATTGACCAAGCCAGCCATTGGTTATTAAATTGGAGCGCGTTTTTTTTCTGAGCCCCTCTCCGTTGCTATTTCAGATGCTAACAAAGAAAAGTGGAGAACATCTAGAAATAGCCAGACTGCGTAGCGACTGATATTGCGTAGAATATATCACAATTTTTCGCGTTTATGCGCTTCTGCAACCTAGAGATAATGATCAATAATTGGTAATAGTTCGATAATATTTGGGTGGTAAAGTTTTGAACTTTTGTCTTCCTAATACTCCTAAAAGCTTGCATTTATAATGATCATAAAAAATTAGAATTAGACGATTTTGTTCAAATTGTGCCTGCGCCAAACCTGGTCAATTTCGGCATCACTGAAACCAGTAGTCCTGAAAGATGTCTGTACTTCTCTGAAATCGCGGACATCGTCGATAGAAGCAACCTTAAACCAAATTTTACAGCTTCTGCAAAGAATCACAGTTTCAATTATTCTTACTTTTTCGCTTTGTCCTTGGTTAGTGTAGAAGTATTTTTTCGGATCGTTTTCCAATCCATATTTGCTTAGTCTACCCCCGTCACTTCCACGCAGAAGATGATAGAATGAATGGAAATTTCTTTCACCTTTCTGCTGTCGAACGACTCGCGACTGTAAAAATGTCATTTTCTCCTCATACATGAAAACGTCAATGACCTGAGTTTACCTTTTCCAGTAGGTAATTGGAGATGTTACCTCCGACAGGGTCACCGTTGTAATTGAAATTGATGTGCATATATTTGCCAAATCTGCTCGAATTGTCATTTCTATTGGTTTTCGCACAACCAAACGATTCAAGGATGCAGTTTGATCGCAGTAAGACGTTCTTGACCCTAGAATGTATGAGATACTGTTCAAGAAAGAAGGTAGGGCTTCCATGGGAATTTTGAGTGTAGAGACTATGTTTTGTTAATCCTACAACAATCAAACAAGCAAAACTTTAAAATTTGAAAAAAAAATTGCAGCAGTAGAAATTATGGTACCGATAACCTTATCTAGTGCAAAGGCAGGCATGAATTCTCGACAAAATTTGCACTTACCAACAGTTCCTTTTCTCTACACCCTCCCCCCCCCCCTCCTGTTTTCGCCTTGCCCGCAAACCCCCACTTCCTAATGGTCCCTCTCATCGGCCGATTACTCATTTTGGCTATGATTGCCGGCCGTTCACCCATTCTTCGGCAACATGCTCATTAGGACACACAATATCGCGTTCACGCTTTCAAGCTCTCAAGGGATTGGCTTTTGCGCAGATCATATTACCGCCGGGTAATTGATCAACTACGATTTTATCCTCAAATAGTGCTTTTCATTAAAATTTGATCTACATAAGACGACAGTATGAAACAGTGGCTGATCTATTTGCTCAAACGAGTATACAGACAAAAATACCACTGATAAAAGCGCCCGATATATAGAGGTGAGCGGATCTCGGCCTGTCGCTGCGCACCTGCTTTCGCAAGGCGGTTAGCAATCTCTTTTTTCGCACAGTCTAACATTTAACGCGCTCTAATGCAAAAGGCAATACGGGACCCCTTGTAGGGCTCGTTAGAAGGATGGAAACAGGATATGGTTGTGCATCTAAAGACATAGCCAAATCCAGGTATAATAAGAATGGAATGAAGCAGAAAATGTCCTCTGATTAAGTTAACAAGAAATATCACTTAGAATCTTATAAGTTTCTAATTTTTCAGTTTTGTAGGAAAATTGCTTCTGTAACTACGATCAATTTATTGATTTTTCGGTCATACCAAAGTCAAGGCTAAAATTATTGTATTCCAGAATGTTGCATTCTTATGAAGTGCTATCCAAGCGTTGCTTCTTTCGTCCCTTCCCGATCCTCTACTCAAAATTTTTCGTCTTGCAAGCAGTTGTACTATTGCACTTTAGTCAATCAACCAGTGCATGACATTGAATGAGGATAGCAGCCATCAGTTGCAGTGGAAGAGTTGACTATTTTGAAGCTTGAGAAAAAAGGAGAGAAGCGGGAAAAAACTGATGAGAATTTGAAAATATCACGAGTACAAGGAAGCCAGCAATTTGCCCAAATTCACTATAAATAAAAAGAAATGCAAGTTCGTACGAATATCTACAGATATTCATGAAGGAAAGTACGGAAATCAGTTTCAAAACAAATTTATCTGTCACCTAATGCATTTCAATGCCATAGATTTGAATATAAAGAAGAAAAGTCCATAGAAAATATTTTTTCGAATAGTACTAGTGATAGTAATTTTGAACTATATCCTTCTTCCCTCCACCAATTACCCTTCCCCCTCCCCACACCCCGCCAAACCTCGTTCACCCTTTCTTTAGCTCCTCAATCAAGTCCTCTTTGGCACCCGAACCACTTCCTGGACTTCTTCCTCCGAATGACCCATTTGATGCTTTTCCGTCATGCAATCGCGAAGCGAACACTAGCTTTGTGCTGTGGATTCAATAGCTGACAGATGTGTGGTCGATTTGAAGGGTTCTTGAAAATTTGGTTGGGGTTATTACTGAAGAACTCGATTATTAAAACATTTCTGGTCTAAGGGACGATTTCACAAAAGCTGTGGATAAAGAAGTATGGCTGACTACTTTGAAGACAAAATGTTCAATATCCCTATAATTCTATAATTTCTATGTAAATGGCAAGAGGACAATAAATTCCATCTCCCCTTCATCTACCCCATTTTACCCATTCCCCCGTCTATTTTCTCACAACGAACCCGACTGCATGTGACGTTCGTACGGGCGCACATGCAAATGAGGCGACAGATGGAGATTGCAATGAAGAGATCAAAGTGATAGACGATCTAGAAGTGAATGTTTTGATTGTCATTTATATGACGAGAAGAGCGCAAAAGGGAATAGGAACGTACAAAAAATGTAGAAGTACCTTTCAATTTCTTTTTGCTGGTTAACATTGGTAATAGCCGCCAGGTATCGCATAATAATTTTGCTAGTTTCAGTCTTTCCAGAACCGGATTCGCCTGAAAGATGACCTTTTATTTAGATAAGAATGAAAGATTAACTTGCGGGTTTTCGAGGCATCGATGATTTTTTGCCTTGCAGTAAAGATTTTTGAAATTTTTTTTGAAGTGCGATCCCCACCTGAAATAACGATGCAAACATCTCTTCCATATCGTTTCATTGAGCGATATGCAGCATCGGCAATGGCGAATGCATGAGGAGGCCTTTCATAAATTTCTCGACTCTAAAATGTAAAGTAAAATGATTAATGTGTTTTTTTACTTCACTTTCTATCGCTCAGCTGGTCTTACTAAGGAAGAGAAATTTATCTGAAGATTCCTTAAATTAAGAAGTGCCTGAATGTTTTCTCTTTCGAACTCTCTTGGCTCTATGTGCAAGTTTTTCATTGTGATTGTTTTATGAAGTTTTGCAAATGCAAGCATAGCCATTTTTGCCGCCCTTTCATCATTTTCATTTTCAAAAAACACCGCTGACATAGTTTTTGATTTTTCACGCTTGTTCATCAAAAAAAACTTTAGATGTGAAGCAGCAAAGTAAAGTTAGGGAGTATGCACCATACAAAACAGTTGCGCGAGAAAGTTAAACCTCATGTAAATTTTCATGCATCTCGCTTGTTTTTACCACTTTTACTTCCAGTATATGATGTTTAAGCCTTGAAAAAACTAACCTTATAATTTTCCACATTTTTCTGGTCATAGATTGGAAGATTGCGGTAGGGATTTACTGCTACGAGCACTTCTCCAATGTAGGTGTAAATTCGGGCTTTAGAGAATCTAAAACGTGAATTACTGTACACTGCGATGACTATTACAGTTATCAAAAGAATTTATTACACTTGAGAAGAGATGTTAGAGCTTTTCAAGAGTAATAGCTCTGACATCATTTTTACTATAAGAAATATATAGATAAGAAAATTTATGGTTGTATTTCATAATCTTTGCTGGTTACCTTGGTTTACTTACGTAAATGGCTTCTGCACTAGAAAAAATGGGAAATGAGGTTTTCAAAAATTGCGGATCTTTTTTATTATTGTCATAATAATGAATAAATTGTGCTTCTGGAGGTTGAGGAGCTTGCATACGACATAAGATTTGTGCTTACCTTTTTTAGAACTATAGAATTAGAGACATAGTAAGAAGTTGTATCTAAAATTATTTTGATTGGTCTCACTGCTAGTCAAAATCTTCCCTAGTACAGATCATTGCGGAATGATCGTAAGTATTTGTCCTTAATTCTCTTATTCTGGTGGTTGGAAGTTAGAATTTCACAAAATTTGATGCCATAAAAAATCTCAAAAATTTATTTGAATTCTATGAATGGAATCGATGCAAAATGTTCATACGCTTATTTTGGTACAGTAGTTACACGCTTTTCACATCATTGTCTAGCCTGATGGCATACTGTTATGTTCATTTTCCAAGGCAATGGTTTTCTACCTCATTGACCTAATCTGGCAATTTAACCGATTTACCTAGAACCGATAACAGAAAAACATATATAATTCAAGCGCTATTCGCTAAAGAAATATTAGGTTGTCCCGAAAATTCTGTCGTTTCATTTTTGGAAATTTTAAATTTTTTGCAATCTCAACAGAATTTCTTCTTTTTCATGCTATTAGAAAGAAAAACTCATATGCTTTGTAATATTAGGGTGTCTCATAATTATTTACCGTTTTTACTACAACCGCCGTATTTTTGCATCTTTCTTTCATCTGATGTGGCTTGAGTAATCATTTGACAGGGCAAAGCAGTAAACGGTAAAAAAATTATGAGACAGCTTAATAGTTCCTCGGTGAGCTTCTACCATACATATATAAAAATGGAAAAAGAAGACCACTTAAGCTTTGACCATTTTGAGATAGGTCGCTGAAAATCTGGTACTCTGCAGAAAAATCTGAAATATCCAGCATATAAGTTTTATGACCTCTTCTCTGCATTCGAGAAAAATTGTGCTGTTTGGACTCTCTGTGAAAAGTTACAATTTTCTAATTTACAGTAGAAAACGTTCAAATTAATTTAAGTTTTTCTCGAAGATCATAATTTTTCATTAGAACATCCAAACAGCACAATTTTTCCTCGGATGCAAAGACCAGTGAGCTTATATACTGACAATTTCAGATTTTCTGCGGCGTTTCACACTTCTGGGACCTAACTTGAAATCGTCAAAGCTCAAGTAGTCTTGTTTTTCCATTTCTATCTCTGAAATGAATGTATAGTTCAAGCTCTTCGAAATACCTCTACAAAGATGAAGACTCCTTCTTTCTGATGAAATTAGAAAGAAGCAAATCCATTGAGACAGCAAAGAGTTACAAATTTCCAAATATGAAACGAAGTACTTTCGGGGCAACCCAATATAATTTCAGAAATGAGCTTATTATTATCAAATTCAACGCAGACAAACTGGATTGTACAATGCCATCCAAAATTTTATATACGATTTGAAAAAGTTTGAAAATCAACAATGGATTAATAAACTCGGCAAAAATACGGGTTTGCAATTCAATATTTCTGCTAGAGGTTCACTACCAACTTCTCATTGAGTATGAGAAAAAAGTGCAAAAAATTACTGTAATAGTCAGTAAGCATAATTCTTATTCCTTCCCTCTTCCTTCCTTCTCCCCTCCCCTCTGTCTGCCCTTTTCATTTCTTCTTCAGTCGTTTCAATGATTACCACTGCTTAGAAATTCTGAGGATAATATAATATTATCATATATGTAATTCTGCTGATAATGACGAGGTTACCCTAAGATCCAGAATCTTCTCTCCCCCCCCCCCTTCACCTTTATTGCGCGTGACAAATCTATGCGCGACATGAATCGTTTGCCTGCCCAAACCAAACGTTTAGATTCTACCCTTTTCAAAAAACCAGTTCCCACCGTTTCGTGTAGAGTTACCTCGCACGATGTAGTTCTGTACACATTTTAGTTTTTGCGTGGGTTCGATAAATGTGGTCGTGAGCTTGTACAGTAGTTTTGAAAAGAGGTTTCACACTGCTGCGTTGAGTTTAGGAACGTTTTTGTAGATTGGTCATGTTCACCAAAACTATTGCTCATTACACCACTTTAAAAGGCCATTATCCCATGTTAAGTGATCCGGATGTGTGTTAGACTCACAGCGATTAGCATAACTATAAAAACAAGTTCAAGCATTCCACTAAACAAACAGGGATTTATGTTGAAGCTACACTGAAGCACACCATTCAGAACCAGATCAGCACGATGAGGATCATACGGACATAAGGGGTTATTGAATGCTGTATCAAGTTGTCTGCAGACATATTTTGAAGCAATTTTTTAAGAATTTGAAAAAGGTAGTTGCAGTTGAATTTTTGAATGTTCTGCAGCACATTCAGAAATTGAGAATTCCTATCTGGGGCGGTATGTAACATTTGCCCGTCCGGGTAAGTTACCCGGACAGATAGTTTCCGCTTCGTAGCTTGGTGCTCTGTGAATCTGTGTTCTTCCTTGTTTGCTCATCTGTTGGAGGCTCTACTACCCTAATATTCTAGCACAATGACTAGCAGCACTTTGCTGTATAAGCTGAAGCAATTCGTTATTTGTGTGATCCCGAACGGGATCTCCCACTGATCACGCTCATTTTCAAAGTTATTTATATCCGCAAAAAGTCAATGAAGACGTTGCAGAGTTTTGCTGTCGATCTATTACGACAGTGCTAGCATGTTTTTAGTAGCACAGATGAAATGTGCAAGTTTTGAGTTTTTCGATAAAGCCCAATTCGCGAGCACAGGTTCAGCGAAGATTTTGTCAACTTGATTTTTCACTTATTTCTTTTACGAACATGCGTAGCACTGTCGTAATAAATGGAAAGCAAAACTCTGTGACGTCTTCTTTGAGTTTTTGCGGATATAAATAACTTTAAAAAAGAGCGTGATTAGTGGGAGATCCCGTTTGGGATCATACAAATAACGGATTATTTTAGCTTATACAGCAAAGTGCTGCTAGTCATTGTGCTACAATATTAAGGTAGTAGAGCCTCCAGTAGATGAACAAACAAGGAAGAACACAGATTCCCAGAGCACCGAGCTATGAACGGAAACTATCTGTCCGGGTAACTTACACGGCCGGGCGATTGTTACATACCGCCCCTGAACAGTTATAGCTCAGCCGCAAATTCTAGATAGGAGTTGTGGATTTTAGATAAGGAAATGTGCAAAGACATCGGGTGCTAAGTCAAGAATAAAGCTTATCACTTTAGTATTGAAGCATTTTTTCTACTTTTTGAGATTTCTCAAGGTTTTCATCAAATAGAAAACGCTAAATGCGAGACGTTGGAAATATTGAGATGCTCCGGGAAGGAGTTGAAAATTAGAAAAGAAGAAGATTTAGATCATCTTTCATCTAGATCAATTATATTAGAAAAAATATGGAACCGCTTTTTTTATGCATGATCTACCCTAAACAATTTGCAAGTCAAATTTGCTGTTGTCTTCTTCCCCCTCCCCCCCATTCTCTACCCTTCCCTTCCTCGTCATCCCCTCTCCACCCCCTCCCCCTCTTCTTCCCCACATTTTTGCAACCCATGTGTTACATCGAACAGGCATTGCTTTTAGACCAGCTAAACTTGCCGAAATGCGACAAATGTGCGTCAGCTAAGGCGCTCTGCAAATATTCGGAACGTTTCCGGACGGGTTCTGAAACATCGACGATTAAACGTTTACAAAGACTAAGGATTTAGTTGGAAACCTCATTTCCAAGTTTTTAAAGGGTTCACACTTTCAATGAATTTTTCGAAAAATCCCAACCTATTCGAGAGAGCGCCTTAACATATTTCTTTTCAAGAATCCTTTCCATTCACATACTTTTCCACCCTTTCGTCCTCACTCTATGTACTCCAGTTCACATGGCTAGCAACAAAAGAAAAATGGTTTCACTGCGATCAACGACACGGGAGAGAAACTAATCGAGATGAGTTTCGTGCTAATCCCCTTGCAAGGTCATCGACGTCATTTTCTCTGAGCCCAAATTCTAAGTAAACAAAACGCACTTACAGGTTATTTTACCCTATATTAGACGTGAAAGAAAAGATGTTGCCCTTTGCCCGCGCAAGCGCTGCTATGAGCGCAATTTCGGGTAAATATTGGCCAAAGAAGGTTGTATTACGGGCGGGAAGATTTGCGAGTAAGCGATCATTGGTTATTTACAAGGACTCTAAGAGGAGACGGAAAAAGTTGAACTAGCTCCACTTGCAAGAAAAGTTAGGGGGGAGGGGCGAAGAGATAAAAAGCCCACGTTTTTCTTATTGTTAGATTTAAAAGGAAAATCTACGGAGACTGCTAGATTGAAATAGAACAATAGCCGTCAAGAAAATTTTCTTCAATTTTTGGAAAGCTAACAGGGTTCATTAACAATTTCGTGAGATTTTTTACAACCCGGAATGCTTTTAGGTTCAGTGTATGCGCTTAGATTCAAACTTGCACTCCCCCCCCCCCTCATTCATCATTCTTCTTGGGGCTCGTTCGCCTATGCGTTTGACATCAAAAGCAAGTTCCCTAAGAGCAAACGGTTCATGACAAGGAACTGCATTTTGGGATAAAAACTTCTAAAGCCTTCGCATATGTGACTCATACTTGGAAAAAGACTAGTAAGTATTGTGTAGAATAATGTTGACATAAAGAATACAAATCGAATGTGGTCGCAGTCCGTGCAAAAGGGGAAAAAAGAGTTAGCCCAGTCAGAAGGTGACTTAGTCTTAGAAAATCAAAAATCAAATGATTCCTGAAGTAAAAGTTGAAGAGAAAAATAAGAAACTATCGGGTTCATTAGCTTTTAAACCATAGCAGAATTATTTCATCTACTCTAAAAGGAGCGATTTCTCGAGATTTGTATATATCATTTATTTCAAGCTATTTCAAAACAAATTACCAGATTTTCAAGCTCACAAAAAAGCTCAGATGATAAGCAAGATTTTGGTATTCGAACCTTAATTTACCCGCTGTTGATTGAGGAATTTTTCAGGATCAACTCTTCTTTCCCCCCCCCTACCCCCCGATCCCTTACCCTAACCTCGCTCGTGAGCACCCGTTCTACCATTTCTGCAAAGGAGAATCTCACACGCCCGTAATTCTATCCCTCGACTGTTTTGCTCGTAGTCGTCTAATTTCGCAACGCTTTCAAAGTTGATTAGATGCGAACTGCAGAAGCCAGAAGCGTCATTTCGTAAGCTTTGGATATGACTCAGCGAGCATTTTCTAGCTCGAAATTATGTCTTAGAGAATTGTTTATAAAAACATTCTGGCTTCGTGCAAATTTTGCGCTGTCATGGTTCGATGATTCTGGATGGTTAGAAAATGCTTTTGAGGAAGGGAATTTTTTGAAATTATAAAAATTTCATCGTAAGTGTTTCAGCGTGATGACTATGAAAAAATACTCTCGGAAAATTCAAGCGCCTAGTTTTTCCAAAGTTTTTTTTCGTTTGGCTTGTTGAAATTGGAAAATTCATCGGCAAATCACCCTTTGGAGCCTTGAATTATTCATTTACAAGAATTTGGTGCTTGGAACTAGTTTAAATGAAGCAAAAATATTTTTGGACATTTAATAACAACTGTTGTCCAATTCAATGTTAGTCAACCTTGTTCTAGATGGCTCAACTTGGTACCCAAATTGAAAAATCCAGAACTGCTGACCATTAAACTGCGCTAGAGCCATAATCGTATTTGATCTTTGAAGGCGTGGCTGATAAATATAGAAAAATTTCTGAGTTTCTGATGCCATTTTTTACTAATAGAAATAGTAGAAGAACTGATGAAGAATGCGGAGTTGTCGTAAGATGAATAATCATTTTTTCCAGCTCCCGATAAGAGATCTGCAAATTTTTCTCCTTGTACAAGCGTCACTTACTGATTTGGAATGATAAAGTTGATATGACTCCTTTGTTCTCTAGAAAGAGATAGATTTTCGGATACCTTATTCGTTCCAACAGATTCATTCATTCTCATCCTTGTATCAAACTTTTGGTTCTTAAACTTGGCGGAATGAGAGATGACACTAAAGTGAGGATAGGGGAAGGAAAGTCAACTGAATAACTAAGCTACATATGTAAGAAGTTTGCAGACTGCAGGAGCTCGTAAATTCCTAGAAAGTGGCTACATTTTGCTGATAGTATTCTCTAATGGCAAGCATTTATGGCGATTACTTTTTTACATTGTACGTTGCGAAGGGTGAAAAAAAAAGCTTATGTAGAAATGAAGCACAGTGCTCCGGAAGTGAGCTGAAGAAAACTAAGTTGCTTTTAGAAAAAGGCATCGTAAAAATCAAACTGGAAGTAGTGTTGACCACAATTTGAATAAGCAAGCTGAATATCGTTTTTGGGACAAAAAGCAAAGGGGATATCGTTTTTGCGGGTCCGAATCAGTTTTTCTTTGGTCGACTTTTGGGGTTTTTTTTTGGAATCGATTCGCATATTTTGGATAAGGGTCAAGGGGGAGTTCGTAAAATTTTGCGAAAGTCAGGAAGGACTTTTTTCTTGCATTTTCAGAAAGCCACCTTGTGCCAAGCCCTGTCTATGCGCTCTCAAAAATTTATATTTTGAAACTCTATCCCTCAACTTCTTCATGCAACAACCCAGTCCGGCTCAATCATCTAGTTCACAATCTCAAACCAGTCTCATAAGGGCTATTTCCATCTGTTGATATTCCCATTTACAACCACCCTCTATGTTCGGATTTTCTTTTGCTCGGTGGCAATAAACACGATGGTTCGGTTCGAATTTCGGGTAAAACCATCCGGTTATGTAGATTTCGCTCGCGCTAATTCCGGGGGCACACCTTGACGATCGCCCCTTCATTCTCATCGGGACATAATGTTTTTTGACCGCTATGCTCGATTTTGACGGACAGTTTGTAGAATTTTGTTTTCGGTTGCAAACTGGATGCATGCGAATTCTTGCAGAAACCGAAGAAAACGATAAGATAGGCGAAGACGTCAATTACGTCAAGCTAGCCCGAAAACGCCCAAGACGTCAGACTTTCGATTTCTGACTTGCAGACTAGGAGGAAAACGTCGGAAAATCTATTGTTTGCTGGAATTTTAGAGCTTCCAACAAAATTTATTCAAATCAAACAAGATAACGATTTTCACTCACTCCCAGGAAAAGAATTATATTTGCGATTTCATGAATAGAGCGCAACAAATCATTTCTGTACCAGCAGCATCAAACCCCTTTTTGCTTTCACAGAAGAAAGTATCATTTGGGTGACTAACAAGTTTTGAGAAGACATCATAACGAACATTTTAACTACACCGCTATCCAGTTCTCACTTCATAAAAATCATGCCACAAGTTTCAAATGTCTCTTTTTTCTCCAAACTAGAAAGGTCTCTTTTTCGCAAAATATGGAAAAAAGATGAACAGGTAGATGAAATATCTCTTCTCATGTGGTTTCAAGTCCTAGTTGCAAATCTTCAAGCACTTGAACACATCGTTAATGGCACAGGATGTAAGGCTAGAAGTGTCTAGAAGAGAAGAAATCCTATTGAAAATCAAGCAACCGGATTCAAATGAATGTAACAAGAAGTCTAGTGAAATCTGCTGCAATTAGCTGAAGTTCTAGGGGTGAAAAGAGGCAAGAAAGTGGAGAAAAGCATGTTTGGAGAAAAGTGAGCCTTTCGGGCAACATGCGAAGAGAAATCTTGTTCAACTTATTTGAGCAAAGTTGTAATTCCAGTCACAATTCTGGTGTAGATCAAAATTTTTTGTACAAGGATTGAAAGAAAAATAAACGTATTATTCATGAATGCATACCAAAACTATTACTTATATTTCTAAAATTTATTCATATCTTTCTTCCTGTCAGAGCGCTCCACTACATAAAACTGCATCGGAACAATATTTCTACTCTGTGCCTTTTTCTTTGTAATATAAAACTAAAAACGAGTATAGAGTAAGCTTTTGACTGTTAAAGAGAGAAAAAATCTTTTGATCCGTTAAAGTTCTGAAACAAAGAAATTGAAATTGCAAATTTTTAAGTAAAATCAATACATATTATTAAGATGGAAAAAATAATGCCCAGTAATCCTACTAATGGAAGAGTGCATTTTAATTTATAAAACGAGTCTCGGATTAATAGAAAAGGGAGACACATAGCAAACGCACTATTAGAGGTTATCTTCCCTCTTTTTAAGAGAATAAGCAAAGCTGTTTACAACAAATTGACGGCAACTTTGATAAAGCCAAGCTTATCAGCTTCCCTCCATAGACATTTAAAAATTGCACATATCTAGACGCAAATAACCGATTTATCTCGGAATGAATCAAGATGTTTTTTGTGCCTCCCCGATGTTGCCTAGAATTTCCACTAATCAGAATTACTGCAAAGAAATGACACCTAAAGTGCAAGATTTGAAGCGCGATACAACTTGTAAAAAAAAAGAATACTCGGTGAAAAAAGCAAAAGTATTTCTGAGCAAATTTTGCAGAAAAAAAACGAATAAGGTCAAACCCATAGTACATTTCATGTGAAACATTTGCTATGTAAATATAACAGCCGTATCGATTTTGAAAAACCATAAAGTGCAAAAAATCGAGAGATTTCGTTGTCGTGTAGACGTATGAAATTTTAAAGCCAAATGAAAATCGTATGGATAAGCAGATCAAGAGGAAAATTTAAGCAGTAAATAAAGTACAAAAAGGAGAAGTTGGGTAAGGGAATGCTTACCTCAAATGTAGATTGTTCACAATAGTTTCCTGGCTTAGAGTCGGCAAGAGGAGCAAGTCTTCGACTCCAAATTCTCTGGAGTCGTGCTCGGTAAGAGCCATCCTGTAGATAATAGACAATATTTATCTTAAAATATACTTGACCAGAAGAGTTATACATGGTAAAAGCACGGGAAAGTCCTTGAAAAAAGGAGAAATGACGGTTTAGAAACGATCGATAATCGATTGATCGAAATTTTGCTAAAGCTTTGCATGTTGAAGCAGTGATACGACGGGTGTGATTGTCCTGATAACGCCCGAACCCACCACTCCGCAAAACCGTAAGCTGTCCGACAAAGCACAAAAAGTACTTCGAAGGCACGCGCTTGGTCTTTTGCATTTTCGGTAGAGGTGTTTCAGGATTCAGCTGAAAGTAAAGGAAAGCAGGGAGCATATAATTAAAACCTAATATTTGTTTTAGGGTAATAAGACGGGAAAAAGAAAAAGTGCTGCCTACTCTCGAGTCAGTGTGCCTTGATGTGAAAAGTGTTGAGAAAAGAAACGATAAGGCCTTTCTACCGCCAAAAATTCAAATGCGAAAGGCTATTTCAGATTAAAAAAGAAGAAAGGAGACCTAAATAAGGAAAAATACTGCCCTCCCCCCCCCCCCTTCGTTCCCTCCTACCCAAAAAGAAGAGAACTGATTAATCAGAAGAGAACCAGTGTGACAGAATATGACTCAAGCAAGGGTTGGCAGCAAGAGTGGGCGGAGCGCGAGCGGTGAGGGAGTGAGTGGCGGCCATGAAGGAAAGACCGAAAAGCAATATCGGTACTATGAAGTTTCGGCGGGAAGCGGTTCAAAGATGGCGAGAGGGTAGGAAAAGAAAAAAAATTTTTGTGGGTTTCTGTGAAGAAGAAGGAGGAAAGAGAGAAATTTGTATGCACTTTTTTGTAAGAAAAAATACTTTTATTAGTGCTGATTCATAGCATTTTTATTACCGCGTAAGTCTTCTTATGGTCATTTCCTAGAGTAAAATAGGTAGTGCGAGACCTTCTGTGTAAAAGAGGACCCCTTTCAGTTTTTGGAACTATGTCGTCCCCCCCCCCCCCCCCGCACTAAGCCGAAACTGTGCCTTTGCAAACCACATGCGACCAATCAACCCTGTTGTACTAGTCCTAACTGTTTTAACAAACAATTCGTAATTTATCCAGCTGAAAAAAAAGCGAACTCATCAAAAGGGCAGATTTTTTTGATGCTGTCGAGTAAAAATTTTGACAAGTGTACTAGTTTTTTTAACCATTAGCTTGTGCATAAGTTGCTTGAGACGAAGAATGAGAAGTATTTTATATTAAAAAAACACGTGCAGAAAATGTAGAAGAATGAAAGAGAAAGAGTTGACAAGCAAAAATTGTTTTTTGTTAGAAAGACTATATACACTCATAAAAGATTCAAGTTCAAAATTTCACTTGGAAATTGTACACTCTCAAATGAAACTGGATCGGTGTGAGAGGTAGACTTTTAGAGCTCACTCTACACAGACGCTGGGAACTTTGTAGAAAAAAATGACCTAAGCACTCTCACTGCCTCCATTTATTTTGGGCAAATTTCTCACCGAACTTGCTCGAAAAAAGTGCGATTGGTGAGCAAAAAGAGCAAGGTAAACATTTGGAGAAAAAGTCGATATGAGTTGAAAAAAGTTGCTTTTTCCAGCACCTTGAGTAATGTTGAGCAGGTATATGGAGCTGCTGCAGAGGTAGGAAAGTTTGCAAACTTTGCCTTTTCTAGGCCACATTTAGTGAAATTTTTGAAGAAAACATAAGATTCTTATGTTCCTCTTCACTTCACTCTTGTTGTTGTGAATCTCAAGAATGTATGAAGATCTTTTGATGATCATTGTATGGTTAAAACACACAGTAAAATAGCTACAGTCGTAGCGAATGCTTGCGAAAGAAAATGACGAGTTTTCTGCCTCAGAAGGTCAATGGCGTCTCAAGCAGAAACTAAAACCGCTTAACTATTCAAGAGCTTTATAGGCTGTCCGACTAGTTGTTTAATGGGTGACATAAGACATTTAGACGAAAGACTCGCTTATGCATTGACTACACACCTGAGAGGGGTGTAAGGATTAGAACGTTGTCACTCTTGATGATTGGAACGGAAAGAAACTGTGTTCGGAAACCTCTTCAAGGTAAGCTTATAAATTTTGAAGAAAACTTGATATTCCTCATCGAATTCATAACTCAATCTCAGGTTCTTCCCGTATGAAATTTTTCAAAAGCTTTGACTTTCAAAAAAAATCTGAATCATAAAAGTCCAAGCCAAAAGGTTGTGGAAGTCAATCCCAGTAGAAAAGCTGAGGTTTCAACGTGAAAAGATTCGTTCATTTTTATCAAATGCTGTGAATGCGGAGCTTACTGTTTCTTCTGCAAATTCAAGCAACTTGAAGGCACCGTCCACACAAACTCTCTACTTCCATGTTTTTGTCGTTTTGGAGCCTTTACATGTCCTTGGTTTCGAGTGTGAAGTCGAGGCCGATTCTTCGGAACGGTGATTGGATTGGCGCGCATGGAGGGGCGGAGATTATTGGAAGGGCGGTGCCAACTTCGGGTCCTCATGTCTCTTCGCTTTTCCGAAGTGATTTTCTAGCTTCCGAAGCGACATTTTGAGCCGCGATATGAGCGTTGGCTTGAAACGGGTGCCACTATTGTAAACTGTCAAAATCTCAATACCCTCAACTCAGGGTGGGCGGTGCCTTTGAAACTCTTACTTAGGGTGGACAATGCATTTGCGTGGGAGGAGCAGTAATGTGTTTGATTTTTGTATTCAAAGAAGTTCTTACACTTAGCCATATGTGATTGATAAATCTAGTACAGATGCTAGCCTTTGTAAACACGAACATGTAAAAGAAAAGCAAGAAAAGGTACATAATGGCTTACAGATTCTCATTACTTTTTACATTCAAAAAGACTCAGTCTGGAATTGTTTTGCTGAAAATTTCGCATCCAAGCAAAGTACGATATAAAATAACCTTTGATTCAACTGGCTTGGAGGCTGGAAGGCGAGACTTCGTGACCTAATCAAAGCTAGATAATGATCAGAAAGCACACGCGCGTAAGTGACGCAGACTGCGTCGCAGGCGCGAGCGGCCTCAAGTAGGTCACAAAGCCCCGCCTTCCAGCCTCCAAGCCAGTTGAGTCAAACGTAACGCCTTTTCGCGCAAAACCTCAATAATTCAGATGAGAAGCGGATCTGAGATTTCTGGAAATCCATGAATACGAAGCTTTGAGTGTAACACCAAATCTGGTGATTGAATGTCATGATGCGGAACGAAAAGCAAGTCTGCTGAGAATTTGGTGGATTAATGCAGTCATAATTTGCAAAATTTTCATCTGGTAGCAAAAATCAGTTAAGATGATTACATTGCAGTCTCAATTCGTGACAGCCAACTGTAAGATTAGGAAGATTCTTTGAGTACGAAGACCGAAGAGCTTAACAGTCATGTATCCAATATGCTAATGGATTCGCGGCAGTCGGTGTTAGGAACATTTTAGCGATCACAGCGCTATTTTCAGGATTAAGATAAACCGATAGTCTATAACTAAGGGAATCATTCCTCCGAAAAAAGAAGCTAGAAAAATGAAAAATGAGGGCTAGATTATGCAAAAACCAAAGCCGAATGAGCGCAACTATTGATAGTTTTCATTGACTCCAGCTCATCAAACGAACGCATACACCGTGCTGTGAATACCATTAGCAAATAGACGATGTGACCTTTCCGCAACTATACAAACTTTTTTCTCCATGGGAAATTTCCAGAAGCATAGGTACATCGATTTACAGCCATAAAATGCAGTGCTAAACGTTCCATGTAGGGGTGATGCTGCAAAGCGCTTGCAAAGGGAATGGTTTGGTGTGGAAATGAGAAATTTCGCCGAGCTTATTCATGGGCGGAATCATCGGCGATGTTTGTGTGGTTGGCCGGTTTCGGCGCAAAAACATCCGGGGAAATTTTCCGAATTCCATATTTTGATTCGCTGATGAGTGATCGGCGCGATGACTGAAGAAATGGTTGCAGAAATGAATGTATATCCAGATAGAGCGTCTTCTACAGAAATGGACGAGTTTTCAGCTCTAAATTATTATAAAACAATGCAAAATGTGTCCGAAACACCAGACATGCATGTATCCGCTATGTTAATGTGAAAAACCCGTAAAAGTGGTGGTGGCGGGGCCGAACGCCCGTCAACGCTACACGGCGCACTTTCGAGTATGTGCCCATCAACGAGGGTCATTCAAAGAGGTGTGGCGAGTCTGTCTGAGAATGAGGTGTCCTGGTTTTATGAAAAGTGAGTACTCACCGTTCATCTGCTGGGAAAAGTGATTTTGAGAGGGCGAAGGATTGCAAATAAGGAAAGAAGGAAGAAAAGTATAATAGCAGGCTTCTGCAGCTGAAATATTCGCTGATAATAATATTGATTGATTGTTTGTTATATTCTCATTCAACCCGAAAGTTGTGTTTTCCACAGAAAAATAAAGAATGTAAAAAACAAATATGAACATGAACTATGAGTTCTAGGAAAAATTATAACAATTGTTTTGCAATTTAGACAAAATCCACTTCCCTCATAAATAACGTCTTATATCAAACTGGACTAGTAAATTTATCGCCTGACATAGTCTCGTGCACGGCCAACAACTTCTGCGCGTAAAATATGGCCATCGAGCGCGCATTTTCAAGATTTACGGACCGCACGAGCTTTACGCTTAAGAAACGTCGACAATGCAAAAACATTGTGCTTGCCTGTAATCCAGTTTATGTGGCTGAAATGATTTCTATACAAAGAAGGTTTGGTGAAATACTGAAAATCGGTTTTTAAACTGAAATCGTCACCATTTATGAATTATAAGGGATAAATTGCGCCAATTAAAAAGAGGGATGACAAGTCATGTTACATCGGACCTCACCTGTTGTTTTCAAATATTCCAACAAGTATTTCCAGCTTTGTTTTTTTCATCAGCGTAATTTACTGTGGCACACTTTTCATGCATTTCATAAATAAATGTATTTGAATAACTGCGTGATTTATTCATTTATTTGAGTCATTTATTCGATTTATATAAGAACTAATGCCAGTACTGCAAAGGAAAAGAGGAACTATTGAGGTGACAAAATTCGTAATAATACAAATAATGCCCTCAGTCAATTTTTTGCGAAACATTTCTGAAAAAAGAGAAACCGTGAAAGCGAACTAATAAGAAAGAAACCAATCTTGATGTAGTTGTAGTCACGTTGTTCTTGTCTCTAATGCCCATAATGACAAATGTCCACGTCATGTTGACATACTAAGTGACATTTATAGGCTTTGCGAGGCTGTCAAAGAAAATGGGTGACTCAGACGAGGTTGCTTCGGACCCTAAGAAACAGACTCAGAAAGCGCACTGCGTCAAGCATTGAAGAGAACTTTTTCACATTTTAAAATAGGGTTCAAAAACTTTACTGGCCGAGTCCTGAACAGCAATAGAGCTCGAAGTCCGTACTAACCAGAGCAAATCAAGACCGTATGTTCGTGACCAACAACATCAGATGGACTGTAAATCAATTCAGATAATCATGATAATCTATGTAAAATAAGTCCAAAGAACACCGCAGGCGACCAAAGCCCGTGTTTTTCGATGTCTCGCCACATTTGCATATTCCCAAGATCATAAACTGTGATTTCATAAGATTATGGGCGAAACAGAAGCAAAAACTGCAGTCCGCAAAAGTTGCAAAAGCAGTGTCAATTACAAGTGAGATGAGAACGGTCACGAAGCAAATGTTGTGAATATTCAATCTATGCGAAGCTGAACTGGTTCGAATCAGGACATTGCTTAGCATTTCCACAGACCAAAAAACATTCTCCGAACGGATGAAGAACGGATGAAACTGCACGACGAGAAGAAAAGAACATTCAGAATAATGTGTTTCGCATGAAATGTCTGTCCATGAATACTGCGACAAAACGGTCCATTGCATGTCGTGTCCTTGCAAAGATTTTCGGATAATTTAGCACACTTTGGAGTATATGTCATTATTCTGTCTTAAGTTGTCCTTTCTGCAAGAAAATGCGAGAACGAGCTCGAAAAAACTCACTGAATGGCATAGCAACGCAAATTTATAGCTTTCATACGTGAATTGTATGTTGTGCACTAGCTAAATTGTATTTTTGTCCTCACCAGAGGGATCTTTATTGGGACTGTAAAGTATTTAAGTTACGAAATGTGCGTTCTTTAAATACTGGAAGTATTATAAAAGATCCTTGAAAGAAAAGAGGGATGTAATAAAGTGAGCGCAGAGATGTTTACGAATAATATTTCGTTCTCCTTCTCTACTTTAAGGCTGTCCCGGCTAAATCTAACCCTCTCCAATTAGTGCCGATCCTGAATGTAGGCCCTAGGAGAGGGGTACCTGCGTTGGTCCGGTCCTCCAATGTTGTCAATGGAAATAATGCGCCCGGAACAGCCAAAGTGCTATCAAACCCCGCCCAGATTCCACCAAGCTCCGCCCCATGTGTACTGAAAGCCGTCCGCGCACTAAGACGGGGTTCCCAGGAATCGAGTTTTTGGGGCTTTTGGACGGTTAACTTCATAACTGTAGCCAGAGCCAAGGAAAGGCTCCAGAATGGCAAAAACATGGGAGCCGACATTTTGGGTAGAATCTACCTTCAACACGTTCATCTATGCTGCACACGGTGCATCACGCGGCTAAAGGGTCATCTCAAACTCCACAAGAAATTTTGTCATTGTCTGAGGATCTTAAGTTGAAGGCCGAGCCTAGTGTTTTTGAGATAATCTCATTGAGCTGTGTCGCCGGTATTCGTTTATAATATTTAATGACAAATGCACCACGATAACGCGTGGTTCCTATTCTGAGACTAAGATCTTGTTTCTACCTCAAAAGAAACGCATTAGTCCTTTCCAGGCTCCAAGTCATCCGAAACCGATTTAGAGCTCAATTCACATGGTCGTAAAAGGGTTAGTACTCATTCCGATTTGAGGTTTCTTTATTGAACGGCAAGAATTTTTTTTGCCACGAGCAAATTCGCAGTCAAATCTGTCAAAATTGCCCTGGGATCTTGCCTTAGGCTGAACATCTCTCATAAACGTTGAAATAGGCGGAGCAGGACAAAAATGGGAGTGGCGATAAATCAACTCGTTCAAGCATGTTGACTCACCGCTTTTGGAGCGCTTAACACACTTTCTCTCACAATGTATGGCGTTATTGCCTTTTACTTTCCATATTCTTATCTACTCGATGTACAGATCATAAACTATGCGATTGATAAGAAGGAAAAAGCTTTTATTAGCGTTGGAGAAATGGGAGTGGCGATTCACAGTGATTATTGAATTATTTCGTTTTCGAAACAGATAATAAGCTCAAGGAGAATTGTTGTTCTCCAAGCAACCGACATTGAGTAAAGAAAAGTATCTAAAAACAGTGATTATCAACGCACATTGGAAACAGATAATAAGCTTTGGAAGAATGATGTTTCATAGGCAAATAAGTTTTCTGGTACTATGAAAAGTCGAGAACTTGCAGGTCGGTTTTCCGGAACGGTGATTGGATGGGCGCGTACGGATGGGCGGGCATTACTGGAGGGGGCGGTGCCGGTTTGGGTCCCCATACCTCTTCGATTTTCCGAAGCAATCTCGCTTCCAAAGCAACATTTTGATCCGCGACATGGGCTTGGCTTGATAGGGGCGCTACTATCATATGCTGCCAAAAGCTCAAGATCCCCAACTTAGAGTAGACGGTGCCTTAAGAGTACTGCTCAACTTAGAGTTTTTAGCTGTTTCTATCACGCTTAAAGCCCCAGAAAACCGCAAAACAAGAGAACAAGGAGCTCAAATTCAAATTATGTTACTGTTACACCAAGAGTATTTACTTGATAGTTTAATGAAAATTATGTAAGAAATCATCAACAACGTGTAAGAAAATCTATGATAAGGAGAAAACTGCGATACAAAGCAACATAAAAGCAGCAGAGTCAATGACACGATGTGAGCTCATCGTTTTGACAGCGTCTAGAATTCTTATCTAAGAGCCAAACATTGACAGTATACATTGGAAAAAAAACCTTTCCAAGATTAGCAAAGACGCCTTAAATGATCCGTTGACTCATATAGAAGAAAGCTTGGCTTTTCGAAACAAGATTCATAATGATATTGATTTATATTCGAAGGCATATTTTGCGCAGTTTCTCCAAATAATCTATTGAAAAACAATGGAGGGCTAATGACCTTTCGAGTTTTTGATGGTCATCGCTGACCATCAAAATGTAGAATACCAAAAAAAATTTGATAAAATTTAAACGAAGTTCTCAGTAGGCATGGCTTGGAGAACGGGAAAAGATGTGAGATTCCGAATGTTCCATAAACTAATGCGATTCAGCAAAAACTGATCTGTCACTTGCATTTATGAAGATTTGACTATCAGAGAACAGCCGTTAAAATTTATTGCTGCTTATTAAAGGAATTTCTTCGTCAGTCATGTGCTAGATTCACGAACTACGCTGTTTTTCGGAGAGCTCAAGCATTTGTCTCTTGATTGACAGTTACGACATTATAATGAGCACTTTATTTACTTATAGGGTGTGTTATAATGATAAAAATGGTAGTTCACTTCGGTGCGATATTACAGGATGGGGCAAAAGTCTGGGAGCCGAATTTGCAGTGTTGTAAATTATGAAACTACCGATGTATTCGATTCAAAATTTGTGCCACATAATGCTGCGATCATCCTCTACAAATCGCACTTTACTTAGCTAAAAATGCTTGTTATATGTTTTTTTCAAAAATTGGATTTATCAAGCACGCTTTTGCAGGGCGAAAAAATCAGAAATTCTAGTCCTCACAATTATTTCGTAACAAAGCCACAGTCAATATCCTAAAACGCTTTGATGCATATGATGTAGAGGAGGCTTTGCGCTATCAGATTGTAGTAGTTGCGTTGCCAGAAACCACTCTTTTCCGAAACGCAAAATAAAAATTTGCGAATATCACCTGCGTGTTAGTGGCCATTCGTTTCCAAAATAGATTTGAAAGCTATAGGAGCGCAGCAGGTACTGAATTTTATGCTATATACTCTCCACGAGTCTTCTATATAAGGATCTATTTAAAATTCGATCGATGGAACAGTTTCAATACTTTTTAAATTATGATTTCTCGCTCTCGTTCGCGCAATCGCATCCAAAATTTCCAGTAAGCGAGTACACTTGCCTTTATTCAAAATTCCAAAACCTTCTCCCTAAATATTGCAAAGAAATCTTCTCGTAATATGTTGTAGCCAAAGGATTGCTTTATCATACAGCACACTTGTCTAATGAAAAAAGCAGTTATTGTGAGGGCGTAGGACAAATTTTACCACGACTGCCCGCGTGCCACGAGAGGCGGACTCGCTAAGATTTCGAAGGACTGCTTTGAAGGCAAACGAGGGAATCTCAAAATTTGAGAGCTGCGCTATATTTGCAAAGGTTCGAATTATATGTCACCAAACTTTTTGTTTCTAGGTACTTTCCTTCTAATTTTATGTGGAAAAGTACTAGGCTCCCAGACTTTTGCCCCACCCTGTACCTTTTGCTTAAGGAATAATTTGTATAGCAATGGAAGTGTGAATACAAATTTTAAGTGAAAAAATTTGTTAGTGAAGGCGACTAAAAACACATATTTACAATCCCATGAGCTAATTAATCAAAATCAGCTTTTCACTTGAAGTTAAACTGTGAATGAGTCATAATATGATGAAATCATTTTTTTTCCTTCAAATTAGAAGTATATATATCAAAGTGCTTTGCTTCTCTGATGTCCAACTGTCACGCTTTTGATAAGCTAAAAGCACGTATCTTCTAAAAAAATCGAGACAGCCCTTACAGAGGCCATTTACCAAGATAAAAAAAATATTTAAGCACGAGGAGCGATCAAAATAAAATGCCGTACACTCTTTTCGCAGATTGATATTTTGCAAGTGCACTTTTAAAAATAGGAAACACCTTCTCTGATGCTTGTAATGTGAATTCATTTAGCACAAGGTTTGATCTATATATGGGGTGATGTCTAACACAGCCATGAATCATGAATCTGAGAAATTCAAGAAGAAGATAACAATATACAGAGGAAATTCACTTGAATGCGAAATCTATACCTTTCAACTATCTCGGAGCTTACTGTGGAAGAAATTGTGTTTTGGTAAACTCATGCAGAAATGAATTGAAATTACAGGAGTTCTGCAAATGGTGAAAATAATTTCTCAAAAACACCGGTGCAAATTGCAAAGCCAACACATCACCAGCTTTTTATTCGCTAAAAGTTCAAGTGTACTCAAATGTCATTAGTTATCGCCAAGGCTAACTAGCGAATGAGACAAAGAAACTGTCCTCCAACGGCAAAAAATGTACCATTGGAAGAGGGGTCTTATATGCACTTTAGCAATGCATGGCTGAAGAGCCCATGTATCACTAATAAGCTTATACTCTGATAGAAAAAACCTGGAGCTATTTTGGTTGAGAAAAGAAATCCTGCGCCCAAGGCTGTTGAACTCGCTAGAGGGACTAAAAGCTATGCTTTTAGGCTCATAAATCTGGAGCTAGAAAGAAGCGTTCGTTGCACATATGGAGACTTCTATAAATAGCAAAAGTTACTAGAAAAAGCGTGTAGAAACCTTGGAATGCCACCAAGTCACATTGCTGAGTATTTCAAAGTCAAAAACTAGTATCACTTATGTGTTTGCGGGGAAAAACCGTGAAGTATGCTGAGCGACGAAAGCAATGTTACGCATCGTTAGTTGGCGACAAGTTTTACAAGCATGTAAAAGCGGATGTAATGGTAGCTTATAAAGAAATGATGTTCACCGATGATGATGAGTTTGAGTGAAAAAATCCAGTAAAAGAAATGAGAAAAAATGGTGGAATGGGGAGAAAAATACAGTGGAAAAAATGCAAAAATGCAGAAGTATGGGCACGATGTGGAGGAAAATCTGCAGATCACAAGTCGAGTAGATCATAGATGGAAATTGCTTGCACAGTGAATTAATTCAAAAAGATTTGACTTAATAACACTCTTCAAAAACGATAGAGCCTAAGAACCACCCATACAGGAAAATATTCTACGAAATTATGGATCTGGGCCGTCCAAAAACGGTCACCGATCGATCTAACGACGCCAAAAATTTGAAATTGCGCGGAGACAAACGCGAAAATCTTATTTGACTCGTCTCGCAGACCTCCTGTTGAGCTGACAAACGAGCCCCGTAACCGCTCTTAGTGCGAGTGTCTCGTTAGCTAGTGACTGACGTAACCTCGATACGTTAACCCGTCTCAGCTAACGTGACTCATTAGTGCCGAAAACTCATTTCAACTGCTTTCAGCATGCGTTTTCAGCGCTTTCACGAAAGCTGCGCACCATCTGGGAACTGGTTCTGGCACAAGGAGCCGCACCTGCTCCTCACCTGCTAATGCACCTTGTCAAGACCGTTGAATGGATGACTGATGGCTAACTCCCCATGGCTTGGGTAGAGCAAAGGGGATGTAGAATAAAACCGGGGATGCTGTACGCACAGCTCTATTGCTTGTAGATTATTAAGAGTATGATATTGCACGTGTCCACCCTTGAACATACACTCAGGCATTTGCGATCATTTTTTCTCAGTCTATATTTGGCGCTTTGTGTTGCGCCATACTCTCAGCGAACTTGGAATGAAGTACAAATTCTAAGCAGGTAGTCGGACATCTTACCTTGAACCTTGAGGCTTGAAAGTCACATCTGCACTTACTTAGGAGGTGATTGGTGCTCAGAAATAAGCGGAAGTACACATCTTACTGCGGAAGAACGATTCTATCACTACAAATGTGGAGCATCTTGTCTTGTAAAGGTGTACGAATTCACATAATAAATTTTGTTTTTACAGTACGATTTGATTTTTAGAATAACCAGTCTCATTGTTTGTCTCATCCGTTGCAAATTCGTCGAGCGCATCATAAAATGCATAAATGTATAAACTAATAAATGAAATGACAATACATGTGAATCAAACTCATTTATTGTTAGAAGAAGCTAGATTTTTTGAGAGACTGGTGGATGCCCACCCTTAGCCTAACCTTAACCATTTACCGAAAAATCTAGATTTGTGAGGTTTATGCATAGTGGTAAGAGACGTCAGACTGAGTTCAAGTGCTACGACATGGTGTGCTTGATCAGATGTCTGCGCTTGGTTCTTGATCATTCTATAGTGTATGCTGTTATATTATGTATTTATTTAACAATGCAAATGATAATTGTGAATTTTTTACGTGCTTAGCGTGCGTCTTGAGTTTCCAGATTTGAAGTACGGACAGCGCTATACTCTTGATCAAACTTCGGAGGAATTTTCAGAGTATGCTTTCTAGGATTTCCTAGTAGAATTAGAAACGCTAATTATTGCTGTCTGTTTTTTAAAGATCTTTCAGTAAATGTTTGAAGGCTTTGATTGATAGATTGTTCTGCAGCAACAAACTAGAATAAAATTTTTTAATTTAAATGTTATCATGGTTATCAATACAGCTTAGAATCCTCATCGGCAACTCAAAAATCATTATTGGCCACCACAAAAAAATTATCTATAGATCAATGACGAAGAGACTGTTGTTGGGTGTTTACCGAAGCCAATGAGCTTGTTGCCTCTGGTCTTTCCCAATCGTACGGTTCATTGATATCTCCTCCTTCAATCTTTGCAGCCTAAACGATTCCTCAAAAATTTGTTCATTTCAGTCTAAATGTTTAGCTTCTAAAATCATACCTCCGTAAGCATTTTGTATATAAAGTCATAATCGACATGATCATGGTACTTGAGACTATCAATGTAATCGAGCACTTTACCAAGTTCTGCTTTACATTTCATACTACCCAGAGCAACCTCCTAGAAGAAATGTTTAGGATAACCCAGTAATAGCATCCAGAGATTGTGTACCCTCTTCTCCGTCCGCAACTGCTCTTTGATTTTGAGGACTTGATTCTTATCAGCAACTGATCTCCATATAATACCTGAATAGAGAACAGGCGCACTAGGAGCACTGTCGAATTTTTTGGATCCTTACCTCTTGGTACGGCTATGTCCAGAAGTAAGTAGAACCAGGATTCGCAATCGTCCTTTGGTCCCATTTCGGAGTTTCTGTGACAAGACAGGGAGGCAAATCTTATTGTGCCCTGAACTTCTGTATAATTTCATCTGCTCCATCGTGATTTGATACCCACACACCTTGAAACGAACTGACATGCGTGGAGTTTTCAGCTCTCCTTTCAAATTTGTGATCTTACGAGCAATGCCAAAGTCAAGAATGTAGATCTGAAGAGTTTTCAGAGTCGCTGAGTTTAGGGAGCGAAGTTCTTACGATTCTCTTCTTGTCGCCCAAACCGCAAGCATAATTGGCCGGCTTCAAATCCCGATGTATAAAACCGTACTTGTGCAAATCTTGGCACGCTTCCAAGCATTGTATTCCAACTCCCATTCCGGTAGACACTGAGAATACCTAAAATATCCATTCTGTAGCGGATATCAAAACGAAAGAACGCCTCGTTTGTATATACTTTAGGAAGTAGCCTACCTACCTTATTGGGTCTTTTTGCTTTGAGATCTGACAGACTTTTTCCAACTAACTCCATCACAAGGAAGAAAAACGTTTCCTTTTTTCCACGATCTATTATGGCGGTGAAGTGAGATTGTTTTCGCTCACTCGAAACGAGCTTGAGGATTGCTATCTGTGTTGATCAAGCATAACTATGAAGGGCTCCCTCCATTTCAGCTTACTTCCATTTTCAATTTTGAGTGTCTTCTGGTTTCCAGTTTTTTCTCAACTTTCATAGCGTAGATTTTTGTCTCATCCTTTTGATCATGTACTCTGAAAACGTGCCTCGGTGCTCAAACTCATGAGTACATAAGTTTGACGTACTTGTACACAGCTCCAAAACCACCTTCTCCGAGTAGCTTGATGACGACATAGTTTGCTTTGCTGGAGTCGATGACGGTGCCCTAAACACCTTTAGATGAGTGTCAACATTCCTTGGAACTCAAGTGATTCCGGATGAAGGAGGCGGCACACAGTTCAGATCGGATTCAGCATTAGATTATGGCATGGAAGTGCGGGTCAAGTGCTGTGGGTTAAATATGCGCTCCAGAGCCAGTTATAATACAGAGAAGTAGATGCAAAACAACCTGCAACAAAATCAGACAAGGCACATAACCTTGGCGGCACAGCTCGTCATGCTATCTAGGACTTGTCTGGATTGGAAAAGAATAGGTCAAGAACCTGCGAACATGGTACCCCTAGAGCGCTCCAGCCACAGGGCTGTAGGGGTAACAGCCATCCTTGTTAGCGTCGGTCTGCTCGTTTGAGCAACCGCCTTCGTCCGGAAATGGACTGCGGAAATCCGCTGGTCGAACCGGCTTGATGCCAAGGTCGTCCTCCTCCTCGTCGCTCATCGAGATGACAAAAAATAGAAATGAGGCGAACATGCCAACCATAGCTTATATAGGGAATGATACCAGTGATAACACAGTTGCTTTATCTCTGTTCATACGATGGTAGAACGGAGATAAACGGTAGGACGCAATCGTAAAATAGGAGATTTGTGTGTTTGTGGAAGAGCTTCCCACCAGCGGAAAGTAAAGGGCCGGGCATACTTCACGCGATTTCAGTCGCCACGCGATTTGGCAATTTGTTAGAAGTCTTCAGATCCAACGATAGCAAACTGCGCATGCATAGTGTGTATAACTTACTTAGATTGATAAAACGCCCCATCTTTAGTACATTTAAAATTTGCTTACAATGAGTCACGGACACTTAAAATATTGGCAAATCGCGTCGCGACTGAAATCGCGTGAAGTATGTCCGGCCCTTAAAGGCAGCGTCCAGGCAGATCTGGACCTATGGGGCTTTTACGTGGAAAGTACTTTTGGGACCCTGACTAAGGCATTGCCCAAGCGGCAGCTCAGGTAGTGCTGTAATGGCTGAGATATTCCCCTCGAAACTGGACCCCGCGACCGTGTTTCGCATGGATTCATGGCGCAAAGCGTGGATCCTGGCGCGAAACTGCCATGAATCCATGCGAATACGTTCGCGGGGGCCAGTTTCGAGGGGAATATCTCAGCCATTGGAGCACTACCTGAGCTGCCGCTTGGGCAGTGCCTTAGTTAGGGCCCCAAAAGTACTCTCCATGTAAAAGCCCCATAGGTCCAGATCTGCCTGGACGCTGCCTTTAACAAACTGTACGGTCGCAGCGATTGCCGTCGTCCGGAAATACATATGAGTGTATGATGAGGATAATGCGTGGTGAAGTTGGAAGTTTCCTGTTCGCATCCGCATCTCCGTGCACGAAAACCTACGTCTGGAATGGAACTATTATGCAAGATTTCGGCTACGAACTCTGGCTCTCTCATAAATTTCCAACATATAGGCAGGACATACGCACAATTACGCGTAACAACCCTTAGCTGATTATTTAAGTTGTGATTGACAAAAAATTAGCCGTTATGCTCGTTCAAAAATCTCTACTAACTAGTGAGCTCGGTGACTATGGTAAGTTTCGACAAGCTGCACTGTTATGTCTCGCGTCAGAACGCTCGAAATGCTTAATTACTGACTAGGGAATGGTCAGAAGTCGAAGTGGCCAATCCATACAAGCTGCATACCATTGGATGCAGCATAAAATGCTGATTTCAAATCTGTCTTCCATATCTGCAGAGCGCCTTTGTAGGCGAAGTTATGAGCAGCTTTATTGCGAAAAAATCGTGTACAAAAATTGCAAAATTAGACACATTATTGCTCTATCAGTTCACCTCTAGGTATAGCTCATACGAAGTGACTTAGCTGCATGTTCTGGTCCAACACTGACCCGAAGTGGCTTCGTACGGCCAAGTTTGCACTTTACACGCACTATTTCTTAGCAAAATAATGGCCTTCAACGGCTTATAATTTCGTCCACAAAAGCGCTCTGCAGATAAGGAAGACAGATTTAGAGTCAGCGATTTATGCTGCATCTAGTATGCAGCTTGTATGGATTGGCCACTTCGTCTTCTGACCATTCCCTTTTGAAACAGTCATGATCAATACTGAGGAATGTGAAGATAAATGCACACAAAGACCTCAACAAATGAGATAGACTACTGACAATTTGTGTTACGATGAGGATCTCCAATATAGCTTCTGTCCCCACGTTAATCTTACAATCGCACCCACTTCATGATTTTTACCCTGATTTCACGATTACAAGATGCACTTTTTTTTCTACATAAACTCGACCAGCCTGAATACACCAAGAACTTTCGCGACGAAAGACTCTCCATCGTGCTGCTGCTTACCTAGAATAATTGTGTGAGAAAGCGACTATTTGGCCAGGCACAGAGGTACGGCTGAGCTGCTTGCTTCAAAAAATGAAAAAGTCACGTCTTGTATACTCGTTAAAGTAGGTGTTCATACATATTTTAGCGCCCTGGGAAATCGAGTGACTTTTGATCTGCTAAGATAGAATAGGCAAAATTTGATGGAGAGTGCTGATGATCTTTAAATGGAATGTCTAACTCAATTCGACATTCAAAGAATGGTGGTACAAAAGGTAAACTTGCTAACGGAGAAAAATCATCTTATATATAAAGCTGAATGTCTGTTTGTATGTATGTATGTATGTATGTCTGTCTGTATGTCTGTCTGTACGTATGTTCCGAATAGAAAATTCCATTTCTGAACCGATCCGGACCAAAGTTGGCACACATACACTACGGGCCCCGGCGGGTGTCATAGGCTACTTTTCGTCATCGATCGATATCGATTTTATCGATTTTTTTGCAAAGTTTGAGCTACGGGGCTGGGAGTTGGCACAGGGGGGTAATCGAGCATGGGGATTCCGAATACAATATTGGTTTTCAGGATTATCGATTACTTTTATCGATTTTATCGATTTTTTGCAAAGTTTGAGCTAGGGGGCTGGGAGTTGGCACAGGGGGGTAATCGAGCATGCTGATCATCCCCAAGGGGGGTGATCAGCATGCTATTACACCCCTGTGCCAAATTCCAGCCCCCTAGCTCAAATTTTCAAAAAATCGATAAAATCGATAAAAGTAATGGACGATCCTGAAAACTAATATTGTGTTCGTAATCAGCATGCTCGATTATCCCCTGTGCAAAATCCCAGCCTCGCATGTCAAAATTTACAAAAAATCGATAAGATCAATAAAAGTAATCGATAATTCTGAAAACTAATATTGTATTCGGAATCCCCATGCTCACTTCCCCCCCTGTGCCAACTCCTAGCCCTGTAGGTGAATTCTGCAAAAAAATCGATAAAAATCGGTAAAATCGACATCGATCGATAACGAAAAGTGGACTGTGACACCCGCCGGGGCCCGAAGTGTATGTGTGCCAAGTTTGGTCCGGATACGGCGGAGCCGGGTAAGCCAGCTAGTAACTTATAATAACGGACTAAGGGTTGTTTACGTTTGTGTGTGTGTGTGAATTTCTGTCTGTCACGAAATTCGTAGAGTGAGTTCCATCAAAGGTCTTGAGCTAGAATTTTGGTAGTAGCACCCATTCAGCATGTAGGTAAAATATGCAAAAGCACAAGCCGATCCGACTACTGAAATCTGTGAAATAGCGCGCCAAACGGATCCACGCAACATTTCGCGCGCCAAAGTGGGCCTGTAAATGTACTTTTTTTAAAGTCATGGATTCGTTTAGCAAGTACTTCCACAAACCATGGACTCAGGCCCAAAAAGTGAGCAAAAAGTTTACTTTCACGCTCAGCGCCAAAAAGGAATAATCGCGTAGGATTGATTTGTCAAGGCTTTACCTGGGAATGTGAGAAAATTTTTGCTCAGAGATGTAACTCACGTTGTCATCATCTTTATGGTGACTATCAAGCCATTATAACCCCGGTAACTGGTTCAAATTCGCATTCAATCTTTAGAATAATTTCGCCCTTTCAAAATCACCGATCTTACATGGAAAACTTTTGGAATGAGTAGTTGTTTACATTTCATTCGTGATGATCGGCATCGCGAGGTAAGTTTCAAAGCCATCATTTTGCGACTACGAGGAAGGCATTTGGATAGTACAATACCGCTCACATTTTTTGAAAAATAGACGCGAATGTATGGACATGTATGGACATGTACGGACATGTCCATACATGTATGGACATGTCCGTACATCAGCGTCGCGTGGCCATATCTCGCTTCAGAGTGGACGAATTCTGAATCTAAAGCAACCACTCGATTCAGCTCGGCGCGGAGAATCTTCTGATATATTGGAAGTGGGGGTACGATGTTTTCGATATTACGTTTTCAGTTTTTTCAATTTGTTCTGCGGAGGTCCTTTCGCGAATATGTGAAGCGACGCCTACCCAACATAGAAGACTTTTCTAAGTGCTATTCGATAATACTGTTTTTGTAGATTATTGTGCGCTAAAAAATAGGCTCAGACTTCTTTTCAAAGGAGATGGAAGCGTTGGTGATTTTGGAAAAATCGCGCGTTTTCAAATTCTACTCGCCATAACTTCCTTCGGAACAAGTATATTTTTAATCCGAAAACAGCGCCTTGCTCAGCTCACCAAGGCATCTCTTCTCATATACAGCATGTCCTTGATATTTCGATTTTAGTATTTTTGAATCTTTCTGAGGACGTCTTTTCGCGAAGGTGTAAAGCAGCGAGCATTGTCCCGAGTACATTCCGGCAAGGATGCTTCGATAGCATTTTTTCTGTAGATTATAATGTGCTAAACTTTTTTTTTAAAGGAAGTAGAACGGCGAGCGATTTGTGGAAAAATCTTGTCGTCCCAAATTCTACTCGCCATATCCGCAGGATACGAAGCTATCTTGCTAAGCAGATGTGAGTTTCGAAATCAGCAGGTCGCATAACCTCTACAAGCAAGTTTTCCGATATGTTCGGGTTATTCCATTTTTTCTCGTTTTACGCTCCGGAAGCTCGCCGATGGATTTTGGTCAAAATGTTGATGCTCCTGAATTGTAAGGAAACTTCGCTTATAGAGTTTTCGAACCCTCTCTTTACGAAAATCGTGGTCTTTGAGGATTACAGAGTCTTTTTGGAGAGATACGGTGAGGTGACTGTAACTTCGTCACGAAAGTGCTTAACTTTGGCCGCACTTCTCGCGTATCTGTCAGAGAACTTGCTTACTTGCTTTTCTAAGTCAAAGTTACTAGGAACTGTGCTATCGAATGGTGCTTTACTCAGGCTCCAGTCTGTGAAATTCGCCGAGTTACGAGCCTACGAAAACACATTCTCATGAATTTTGCCCAAAATGTAAAGGTCGCACATCTCGTCGAAATTCCTCCGAGAGCGCTTGTACAACGCGCTGATCAAATCCTTTATTTTTGTTTATTTATTTCTTTATTCTATACGCTCTTGGCGTTCCATACAATAAAACAGAAAGCAGTCATTTATAGTCTAACCGCAACGATAGTGCTTCATTAGTTTAGGTCTAATCTTGATAAAAATGTGATGAAAGCTCGTA